AAAAACCCGCTGTAATAAGAGAGAGGGTAGTTCAGCTTTATTTGGGAGCAATGTCTTATTCAATATTTAAAAAACTGTTTTAATACAAGAATATTGCAGGACACGATTGGTTGAAATAATTGTGTTGTTTGCATAAATTAATATTCATGAGCAATGAAAAACTCTTTTCAGTAAAATTGTGCCAAAATGCTTTCCGATAGCACACATGATAGCTCTAACTTGACTGATTCAATCGATATGAGCTGAAAAAATAATCCAAAAACTGAGTGTTTTTTGAGACATGTTTTTCATCAGTTACGGAATTCATGGAAAATGTAGAGACGCGTTGATAGTTCACTCTAGTACTATTGCTCAAAATGTTTTCAGTAACTTTTATCAGTGACTAGTTACCTAATTAGTATGCATTTCAAGAAACAACTGCATGCGCAGTTTGAAATGAAAAATTTTTGAACGCAATAAAATCATGCGTAGAACTCAGTTCAGGGCTTCAGTGCGTCAAACTGGTTGCCATAATAACTTCGTCCGAACGAGTACTATCAATTTGGATTCGTCCCGATCGTCCGTCCATCTGTACTTATGTCCGTTCCGTACTATATCTCGGACACCCATTGACGGATGTCATTCAAACTTTACATGAAGAGAATACATAGTGCCTTACATATACACGTCAAGTTACTTTATGATCGGAGAAAAAATGGCCGACTGGTGGCCATTTTGGATGTAAAATTTCTGATACTTAAACGTGTCCGTAGCAGTTTCTCAGAGATGACTGGGCCGTTTTGGTTGTAGGTGCACGTCATTTTTTTTTCGTGATTCGAACAAATATGGCCAACTGGCGGCCATCTTGTTTTTCGTGGTACCCATGCTACTTTATATTGAATGCAATGAACGTTTCTCTTTAAATTTTGAACAAAAATAGTATACCAAGGGATACATTTGTACCAACATTATTTTTGTGATTCGATTCAATTCAATATGGCTGACCGAAGCCCAATTTTCATGTAAAAGTGCTAAATCGTAATTTTTTCATGTCCTGAGCTGTTCTTCAATGATGACTAGGCCAATTTGGATCAAAGTTGGTATGATGATCATACATATTGGGTTATAGTTGCATGTCATATTTTTTCTGTGATTCAAACTAATATGGCTTACTGGTGGCCAATTTGTTTTTCATGATACCCATGCCTACTTTCCCATGAATGCAATGAACATTTCTGTTTAAATTTTGTACAAAGACAGTATACCAATAGATACATCAACATTATTTTTGTAATTTGATTCAATATGACTGCCCAATGTTCAATTCTTGTGTAAAAGCACTAAATCATAATTTTTTACAAATCCATCTCCTATTAATGGTTTCAATCTAATCTTAATGACTTCATCAGCATCAAATTGATATGTCAGATCACAAACTTTTGGATAGGGACTGTGTCATTAACAATGACTTGTTTTATACATAATTTAATAAGTTAAATAATAATTAATAATTTTAGAGCCTGTATTTCTCTTTGTGATGTTTCTAAGTTGTGTTGAGGATTATTCTGTAAAGAAATCGCTTTAATTATGTCATCTGTTTGTAAAAGGGAAGTTGTTGCTTCGACGAAGGCCTATGGACGACTGACTTTGAAACGTTCCATCCTGATCGGACGGCGCCCTCTAGTGCCAATTCCCCTCTGCAAGTGCTTGTAACCAAAAGTTCTTCCAAAACAACATCTGTTTGTGAATGGATATTGATCAGTGACTTTGGCCTTTCACTGAGTCTGTTTACCACTGTGTGATTTTTTTTCTTTCTTTAGGTTATATTTCTTGAAGATAAAGTGTCTTCATTTATTCAAACACGTGGCTCAGTCCCTTTATTCTGGGAACAGCCAGGAATTCAAGTTGGCTCACATAAGGTGAAAATGTCAAGAGGATATGAAGCATCAGCTCCAGCATTTGAGAGGTTTGTCAAAATAAAACATTTTACAGTGCTCAGTGAGTGTGCCTATAGTGCCGTGTAGTGTCCTGTGTAATAGGCTTTTTTCCGCTTCGGTCGAGATCTCGCAAGACCATTAAATTTGCCTAGCAACCGGTTTCTAGTCATGTGATACAGGTCAAGCTTTGAATCAAAATAGCGCTAAATTGTGCGTGTACCTAGTGTCGTGCATTACATTTTCGAGTGGTTTTTTGCATTTGTTTCACGTTTTCGACCATGGTTGACTTTGACAGAATGACCGTGCCACAGTTCAAAGACTTCGTGCGTAAATTCGGCGTTTCAAGAATATTCTTCTTGCAATCGCTAAAGCTGTGCACGATTTGGAGCTTGAGGAAGACCCTGAATTTTACGCCATGATCCTAAAAAATGAGCTTGCTTCAAGACTTAAAGTAGCAAACTTGGTTGCAATTTCATCGATCCTTTGAAATTACCAGGCTTCTCTATAGTGATTTCACGAATGTTCCAGAATTCTGTTTGTCCGAAGTTTTAATGCGTTATCGGTCCGACTATGACCGGAAGAAGCTCTGGGCCTACAAATCGTGCGAAGATTTCAAGTTCTTTGACGACGGGCATGTTTAAATGTAACATCTGTCTGTGTACTGGCATCACATGTCAAAGGCACATACTTCACATTACTGCGATGTCCTCGACTTGAATATACGGCGTTCGACACCTCTCGCAATCACTGTTGTTGGGTCTGGATACGACTTCAAAGGACCCTTTTCTTCCACAAAATCCAGGAAAGAAGCGTACATATACATGTCCTTGATGATTCTGTGTGAATCAGAATTTCGTCTCGACACTGGCCTGAGATCCATCGATCGCACTTTTCAGACTGCGTTTTTAATTTAGGGAATCGCAAAACACAAATAAAAAAAATAGCATTCATATAATTTTTGTACTGAAAGCGAGAATCACTCTTACATTCGCTGTAAGCGCACCGTTTGACTCCCACTGGGACAGATAATGTTTCGTTATGAGGTTTAAAACGCATAGGACAATGTGGTTGCTACCATATTGAACTGAATGCTTGACCTGTATCACGTGACTCAATTGGTTTCTAAAGTTTGTAAACCGTGGTCACGCGTGATCTCGCAGCTTGCGAAAAATGGCTTATTGTGTGTGTCTGTTTGTTTGCTAATAGGCCCAATTTACTCACCCAGGACGATTATTTATTGGAGGTGTGGCCATCTTAATGATCCTGATAATAACTTGTGTAGCTTATGCTTAGAAATCCTTGTAATTTATTTACACTGACACTAATGTATAGCGGTTCAGTCAGACTTGCTTCCATGGGGCATGGAACGAAAAAACTAAAAAAAACGAAACGTGTAATGAAGTGATGTGGCATTGACCATTTCTTTGTATTATGTTTATTTCAACAGTAGCTTTTGCCATCCTTGTGTCATTGAACTACTGTATGATGTCACAGTAATGACCAGTAATATATACAATATATTTATATAATATGTCAACTTTGAGGATATTATGTTACATTGTTGAATGCGTCACCCTTCCCTACACACACTCACATGTGATACCCGTGTGTCAAAATTATACCTTCAATTCTACTCTAAATAAGTGGGCATGTATTTGTATATTACTACTAGCTTGGAACTAAAAAAGAGCTACATGCTAGTAGTAACAGTATTGTTCGTTTTTTTCTAAGACAAGCCAGGAAATTGTACTCATGCACAATATAATCATTTTGAAAGTTTTTTTTTTAATCCTTTTCAAATCAGTTGTTCATATTGTAAATCCATGAGTAGTGCTCTAAACACATGTAGAAATAGATATATGCTATTTTAGCAAATGCATAAATTAACAAAATCTCAATTTTTAGCTAAAGTATCAACAATCTCATTGTGAGAATATACTTTATTTTAAATTAGCGACATCCAGAATGCTGGCTAAAAAGACATGTTTTACAGTATACATAGATAATTCAGCACCCTGTTTTCTTTATCGTGGTATTGTGACTGATCAGTCAATCTCTGGTTTTTGTTTTTGTCATCACACAGACATTTATCTACAATCAAAGTGCAATATGGGGATCAAGTTATTGTTAATCTCTTAGGAAGCAAAGAAGGAGAAGACATGCTCAGTAAAGCATTCCAGGTATATGCAAATGACATGATATAATTTCTTTGCTCATTGGATCATAAGTTTCTAGTTACACTGCCCTCTCTGATGATAGTTACAGCTTTTGCACTAACAGATTTTCTTCAAGTGTGTTACAACTTGTTAGAGGTAACCATTTGAAATAGAGCAGGGGGGGGGGGATTTTGGGGGGGGGGAGATGTAGACTGATTTCAAGGGAAAAAAATTCCACTGGCTCAATAGGAAGAAAAACCAAAATGCTGGCCATTTTGTTTTAACAAATTTGGTTCCAGAACTATATCTGTGGCATTCCTTGACAATTTCAAACTTTATATATACATCATGTTGCAAAAATGCACGTTCATTCATTTGACAAATCAATTCAAGATGGCTGAATGGCAGCCACTTTAATGTTAAAAACATTTTTTGAGTTGCCAGATTTTAAAATTTTTAACTATTTTTTAGTCTATGAAATGAAATTTGTGTAATCAAAGGCAATTAGACACATGTGTTGATTTTTGAGTTGTGTAGACTGGTAAACTGAGGGCGTCTTCTGTAGTTGTGTAAATACATCAGTGTTTTATTAAATTATGAAAATTATTATTTGCATACTGTAAAATACTTTATTTTAGCAGCAATTTATTTTTGCTGAAAAGACTTTTTTGAGTGTTTTGTACAGAGTTTATTTTCACCGATTTTTGATGAGTTGAATGTAAAATATAGGAAAAAAGGTACCGTATATTCACTAGATTTTATTTTCACTTAATCATTTCAGCAAAAATAGTGAAAATAAATTCAAAGTGAAAATAAAGTATTTTACAGTATTTACCGGTAATTTCATCTTCTGATTGTGAATAAATGTCTACAAAAAGACCCAGCAAAGAATATATTATTAGAATGCTCGGCTGCAAGCATATTAAAACATGTTTTTTTTTATGTCTGTATTTTCATTTTACCATGACGTTTTTTTTTCTAGAGGTAGTGGTGGTGAAAAGGTCAGAGTTGACTGGTGAATGTTAAAAATGGCAATAAAAAGGTCAAAGTTGACAACTATTTGTATATTTTGATTTCTAATAATTTCACCATTTGTAGAATCACCACAAGGCTTCCGCGTTCAGACAAGATATCCCACACGTAGTATTCGACTATCACCAAATATGTAGAGGTGGACGTCCAGAAAACTTACGCAAGGTCTTAAAGCCAAAGCTTGAACAGCACAACAATAGATTTGAATTTTTTTATGCCGAGGGTGATAACGTCTTGAGGTAAGTTTTTACGTGTCTTTAACTTGTTATCGATAGGATGTTCTTCATATTTGACAGTGATTTAGAAATGGGACTAAATTACATGACTTTTCATAAAAATTAAAGCTTGACACAGCCACCATGGACATGGATATATTGCGGGGGGGGGGGGGGGTCACATATTTTTTACAAGGAGAGCTGCTGTTATTTTGTAAGAAAGATAGAAGTGTGTTTTGAAGTAAAGATGTGAAAGTGATGTACTCTGAAAAGTTATTCAATTCTATATACTTCTAATAATAATACTATATTCTATAAATTAAAAAACAGTTGTACACACTCAACAATTTGGGTTGGAATTCTATTTTATCTCTTATAAAAAAAAAAATTAAAAAAAAATTTAAAATTTTAATTTTATTATATTTAACACTAACAATTAAAGCCTGAGAGACAAACCCAACTACAGATTTGTGGAGATAAATATTCACAGTTGCGACAGAATATTTGAAGTCATTGTAAGTTTTCTCTACATCAAATCGTTTCAAAAATATATATTTCTATTTTCAGGCAGCAGAGCGGTACTGTCAGAACCAACTGTCTCGACTGCCTTGATAGAACTAATGCTGTACAAGCTTTCATTGGATTGGAGGTATTGCCCTTCTCTAATCACATGTTTGGTTGAACCACCCTATTGTTGTGTAGTATTGAGGGTATGCCTTTTAACGCAACATACCATAACACCTTGCTCAATTTGCAG